CTACCTCTCTTAAATGCATTTTCCAGCAATTTCTAAGTTTGATAAGGAATTAGGCTTCTAAAGATGGATCCTTGATATTGATATCTATTAAGATACTCCAAAATCCGAAAACTGATATTTTTTCAAAATTTTTACTGATCTGACCAGTGGATCCCCTTAAAAAATTAATTCCTACCAAACTGAAAATGTTGAATGTGTCCCGTGCACTCATATGACCTTTTGCAGTTGTAAGCGCCGCAAAACACTTTTTTTTTAAACTACATAATTTTACAATTGATAGAAGAAGTCTAAAAAAAAATATGTTCGAGTGTTTAAATTTGATGTCAAATAGACTATTAAAAATCAAATCAATAGATGAGACAAAACCAATGTAAGTCCAACACAAAAGCACAAGATCCCGTTGATACAATAAAAACTAGATCTAGCTCCTTTTTAAAAGAATTTGAAACGATGCATGAATAAAAAGTCCCTGAGGTAAGATGGCTTGACTTGATGAATTTTATTTCAGATTACCCATCAGATCACATATATTAGGATTGAAAATGTAATTGTTTATGAATCAATGAATGTAGACGCTATTACCTTCAAAGGCGTCCTGTACGCATTTTATTTTGAATGTTATAAATCGTATTTTTGTATAAAGGGACTTGCAGAAGCTTCTATGATTTTGTACCACAAATAACCAAAACCTTGCCTGTTTTTTTAAAATATGTATTGTGCACATATTTTAAAGTGCCCATTGAAATCAATGATATATTATCTGACACCTCTTTTTGAGAAATTAACCTATTATGGGTGTGGAGACTATAGCTCTATAACATTATAATTATATAGCAAATATGTTGATAAAAGTTTCAGATGCCAAATCTATTTCCTTAATATTTTATTAAAAAGATTAATGTGCAATAATCATCCCACTTTGCACTAAACGCCAAATGATTAAAAATGTTAAATGTGGGCCTGTATTTTTCAAAGCCACTAGCAATCAAAATCAATACATTATACAGTGGAATCCTGTTATAACGAGAGGGAGGGGACTGGAGCAAAATGGCCGTTGTAGCAGGATTTTCGCCATAACGGATCCAGTAACAAATTCAAGGGAAACAGTAAAGTAGGCCTAATCTATGAGTTTGGTGTTCTGTTTATTTCCTTTTGCTATCTCCTCTGATGATGATTTTGTTTCAACATGACCTCTAGTTCTAGGTCTTACTTGATCAAAAATCGAATCAGGTTTCTTTCTTTAATGCTAGATCTAGCGATGTGGACTGACAGCTCGGTGTTGGCGATCAGAAAGAAAGGGCTCTGGGCTAACTCGCCTGTTGTGTTTTTCCCCACCCCACCCCACCCTGTGGTGCATTCTGTCTGCTTGCGCACGTCACACATTCGGTCCATCCATCACATTGCTGTGACCTCTTCATCCCCGCATCGGAGAAGTGAGAGGCATGGTAGGCCTCGATAATCTAAACTAGGCTTACGCTGGCCTATCACGCGATGCATTCTGCTAGTATGCGCATGCCACACCCTCCCTACTCAGTCGCTCCGGCCTTCAGTGTTGACACACATGGGCTCTCTTATTTTTTGTTTCGCAAGATCACCAACAAGTTTCTCAACTTGCGAGTTTTTGCATTATGTATAATTGGCCTATGCACTGTGCACAGCAGCAGCAAAATTCCGCTATAACTGACTCGCATGTTTGTCTGATAGCGCTATAGCAGTATTTTATTTACAACGGTAAAGAGGAGAAAAAAAACGGGGTTTTAGAATAGTGTCTTTATAACAGACCTTGTTTTTTCCCCGACTCGTTATAAGTGGACTCCACTGTAATGGTTTCAACTTTAAACACTTGAAACATAAAAGGGTTAATGAAGCCACAACCACAAATGTATAGATCTACTCTATTAATTTCAAAGAAATAACTAGAAGGGAAGAGCAGTGGGTTGGTTTTCAAATTTGAATTTTTTAGTGTAAACAACAGGCATAAAACATCTTTGGTTTTCAAAAAATATATTATTTTAATTTTCCCATTCGTTTTTATCATTTATTGCATGTCTCCTCTTTTCACTTCTCCCTCCCATACACAGATCATATAATTCTATGAAAGTAAAGAACCCAAAGATAAAACGATATAATCATACACTCATTTCAGAAAAGAGCAATGAAATAAAATTGAAAATAAGATATATCACATATTAAAAGGGGGAAAAAATCAAACTCAACAAGAACACAAAGTTGACAATGCTGAGCTGGGCAAAGAACATAAAGTGAATAGGCCTACAGGAGAAATATGTTGCGAACCTGAGACAAAGCTTCCCGCTGAGGTCTGTCACTAAATAAACCAAAACTGCATTGATGAACAAAGCACAAGTTGTGTGGGTTCAAGAAACTGAGTCACTCATACTTCAGATAATGACAGAGCTAAAACAGAAATGACTACAAGTGTGAAAAAATATCAATTTTTTCAAAACTAATTTCTTCTCAGAAGAAACAAAAAAGAATGATCTCATAGACTTCAAGACATTGAACTGACACTTATATATTTGTATTCTATGCAACAAAAGTACAATTGAAAAGGCATCAAACTCACCTCTCAATAATAAGAAGATATATGTTAACTGCACAACACCCACCTCATGCAAATAAGTCCAATGTGGATGGCAAAACATACCATCTATGGTCCAACTCAGAACAAAATACATTCACATGCCCATAGCAGCAGTTCATGATCTAATAGATCAAGCCTGCCCATACAATTTCAACCCCATTCTGAACACTTAATGCTCCACATCTCATAACAAGACCCCATATTCCTTTCAAATGTTACAAACCGAAAATTGACAGAACCAGCCACTAGGACACAGTTGACTACATTTTTTAACGAACGGTTATAGGCATCCAAAAATGTACATATGCAGGGAATTTCCCCCCATAGAGTACTGCCACTTGAGGGAAATCTAGGCCATAGAGCGTGTGATGAAAAGAGGCTGACATGAGCTGGAAAATATAGACAAAAGATTCACAAAAAGAAATAATTTATTCAAAATGATAGATTACTTTCTTTCTGAACATGTTTGGCATGCTTTTTTCCGTACCCGTGCGGATGATACGCTATTTACTTCAGCCTGTTCATTCTAGCAAATAAATAACACTTTTATGGCAACAATGAAAAGTAAAATGCAACATTAACCACCATACACATAAATAAATTGGAACATACACTTTTTGATTATGCACTGCACCCAAAACAAGATTAAAATTTTTCATGCCAGTTTTCCAGATATACATGAAATAAACTTTTACAGTGGGACTCGGATTCAACGAGCTCGGATTCAACAAGAAGAGATGGATTTCCCCTTTTTTTTCTTCTTTAAAATCAATAAAAATAACCAGAATTCAAAGAGCACTTAAATCAGCAAGCTCCGATTCAACATCGTTTCCAGGGTGAAAAGACCCTCAAACGTGGCTTCGCTAATTTTTTTCCCACCACAAACTTCCGGAAACCATTCATTACACCTGCATCTTGAACCATTGTTCATTTAGAAGATTGCATGCCACTAATCAGCGTCTTCTTTCATACCAACACATGCGTTGTTGGCACCCGTGTGTCGCGGTCGGATGGGCGGCCTGCACACGTGTGACTGTGCGTGCGTGTCGGGGGGGGTGACACCATTGGTCTGGGCGTGGAACATCACAGATACAAACACGTCACAGTCTTCCCCCCCCCCCCCCTGTCTTGACGACGTAGATCTACGTAATGAATTGTGCGCTGGTCTATGGAATCTTAAGTTGCTATATGCTAGGCTAGGTTCTGCCCAGCAACATAACTTTTTAGCTATCAATCGAGATGACACAGGCGTGCATTTGAACGAATCGGTCATTTTTTTCTGCACAGCTCATAATAAGCAGGCATTTCAGGCACCACTTGTTACTCTTCTTTATACATTACTTGCTCGGTGCCTGTAATTATCTACACAAAACCTCATGTTTGCTATAACTTCCAGGGTGACTGCCAACGCAGCTTCTCATTTTCCAAGGGCATGTTACATAACAATGACAGCATGTGCTTCATTTATACACAAAAACATAAGTAGGCCTACATTACATCCAGTCCACAACATGTCAACGTGGCACTGGGATACTGTGTGACTTACATATTTCAGTCTTTTCTTACTTATTTTCCCCTCATCATATTCACTATATAAACTATACAAAAATGAATCTTGTTTTGAGCCTGAGATAAAGCCTAGAACCAGAACAGGCTTGGGTGTCGAGATTTATTTAATAAACATGAAAAACAAAAATTATTGCTCATACTCAAAGTAGAGTAATAACTTGAATGGCTCCAGTGTGAGAGAGGTAAGAACTGCGGAAGGGCAAGATGCAGTGACACTGAAAATCTGCAAATCTTGAACAGAAAGCTAAAAACAGACATATAATAAAATACATGTAATTTACTATCACGAGAGAGAGAGAACGAGAGACAGAAAAAAGAGAGAGAGAGAGAGAGAAGAAAAAAGTATGCACCTCTCTAAGAAAAAAACCAAAAGACAATGAAACAAACATACTATCACCCATCCAATGAAACGGGAACCTTTTGGTTAAAAAAGATGGCTTACAAGGTATGATGAGTATGACGGATCCCATTCCACACAAGGCCTGCACCAAAGCGCGCTTGGCAGAAAGCTCTAGTAACAATCAAAATTCTAAATACTAAAATTTGCTTCCAAGTTAAGTTTTTGTCATCCGGTGTTGCCTTCAACCCCACCCCTCCCCTGACTGTACCTTTAAAAAAATCAATAATCCCCCCATTCCGGAGCCCTATACTTCGCAGTGCACAGACTTTGAATGAACTTTGGTGACCCCAACTATCACCGGTACTCACAAACTGATGCGAAAGCAGAGGTTCACTGACCAGTCACGAAGGAGAGCCCGACAAGACGCTTGTATAACTTTCTTTTTTTCCCCACAAGCGACAGCACAGGACAAATATTGATTTATTTTCGTGGTAACACAGCGTTTCTAATGGACAACCTGTATGTGACAAATGCTGCAGTAATCAGACTGTTACCGGCAAATTTCTGGGTAGTAACGAAAGCAAAAGTAGATTGAGCTTCGGTATCACACATACACTTTCGCTTGCTGTCATAGCCGCCTGTTCGCGTGAAACGTACTCTCAGACCGGGAAAAGCCTAAAGAATATATCACTATCGCGACCGGCAAAAATGAACCCTAGGACGTTCTCCGATTAGATTTTCAAATGTTCTATAACTTTTATGTATTTTTGCGGGTCTTTCCCAGGGCAATTTACAGATTTCCTCAAAATCTCGGGGCATTCCCGGGTCTCAGCGATTTTTTTTCAAATTCTCGGGGGATTCCCGGGGGCCTGGCAGTCACCCTGTATAACGGAACACTCAGATTCAACAAGATTTTAGGTCAGGTCCGGCGACCTCGTTGAATCCGAGTTCCACTGTATTTAAGTTAAACTTTCAAAACACCCAAGGAAATGTACACTGATCAATCTGAAATGAAAGTTCAATAAAGAATAGTTTCAGTATTCTTGGCTGGGGCAATGCTGTAGGTCCTTGATGCAGCACTCATAGCTTTGTTGGTCAGTACAATCTCCAACTCTTGAAAGTCTCGTAGCCTTTTCACATCCTTGTCCTTCCTTACAATGGTATCGGGCAACTTACGTATTTTAGCCACAAGATTCTTGTCCACGTTAAGTTCAGCACACATCAAGTTTAGCAAGCTCACGTAATCCAAGGTTGCACGGTTCAGCTCAATTTCAATAAAATCTTTCTCATCGCAGTTGGCTAGGCGGGCTTTCAGAACCACTTCCACTGGAAGAGAAATTTGTAAAGACTGCATAGTAAGCACAGAAGGTCACACAAACGATTTCTCCCTATTTAAAAGAGCTATTTTCATATATTCAGTTACTATTTTTAAGGAAGATAGAAAGTTGTAATTATACTTCAAAACTTCTGGAAATAATCTTTTTTTTAGATTGACACTAACAGACTGTCCCCTAATGAAGAAAATGTAGTCTTAAGGAAAGGTAGTAGGCTATACTCATAACCAGTTTCCAGTTCAACTGTTTAATGCATTGTTTTAATAATGTTTTTGATGTTTCAGTGAAACAGTGACAATAGGATCCATTTTTGTCAAGTTCTATAACAATTAATTTTTGGATTTGTGACCTATTCAAACGTCATAACATGTCTATTTTATCATAAATACAAAGAACACTCTAGAAAAAAATATTTTCACCCAAGAAAATTGAAATTTTGCACACAGCCAGACACAGATTTTTGCCCCTCATCATAGTGTTTTGAAAGAGGACAGATTTTCCAGTTCCATTACTTTACTGTTTTTACTGTCCAGAAGAAATACATTTTGTCCATTGAAAAAATATATTTTAAAATTAAAGTATTATATTTATTATTGATAACTTTTCAAGCCAAAAGCCATGGTCTGTACAGAGGCATTTATGTAAACACTATGAAGTACAAATTTAATCGTGTAGGGTTCAAGTCTTTCAAGAATTTCAAGGTGCAGTATTCTTCATAAAGCACACAAAGCCAAAAATTGAATTTCAGTTAAATGAAAAAGAGAATACAAGTGAAAACAATCTGATCGCAATTTTACACTCACAAAGTGGACACAGAAAGTACAATAATTGTGTTTTCTAAGGTAGGAAAGTCAGTTCTTGGAGTAAGGACGGAGGATGTCAATCTTTATTCACTTTCCCAAATAACCAAAGTTTGAATTATCATACTGTAAGCCTTCATTAAAAATACATTTGTTCCTTTTATGATTCATTGGACGTATGTCAATGTGTCCTGTCTTAAAATTAAAATACAATCTGTGGCACTGGCATAAACTGTAAAAAGGAAAGTCCATACCTGAGTCAACACCTTGGGGATAGGGCATATATCTGGCATCACCTGAACTGGATGCAAAAGATTTTTGAGTGACTGATTGATTGAGATAATCACTGTAGCTTTGCTCTTCTCCATTCTTTGCAGCATAAGGAAACGGAGGGTTGGCAAGATAGTTTGGTGTGATGGGCAAAGTTGTGATCTTCACCTCAGCGTCAGGTGGAGCTGTAGAAATGATTAAAGTTTTTTAAGTGCGATGATCCTAATTCTGTCACACAAAAACTGATGCTGTACATTTGAAAAAAACTATGACCCTTGTCATTTTTATTTGTTCTCACTGAGTTTAGAGCTGTCTTCTGCCTAAAGGTACCAATCCACACAGATAACGATTGTAGAATTCACTAGGACTAAGACCTTCCCTTCAATTTTAACTGATATGAAACACCATTAAGGTGTATTTCAACAAGACTAGTAGATGCACAGAACTGTTTTCACCAAAATTTAAAAGTTTCAAGCAAAAAAATTGTACTCAAACACTTGATTACATCTTAAATCATAAGCATGTAAAAATAATGCTCAAGTAGGGTCAGTTCAGAAAATATGTTTGAGAAATTATGATAGTTACTGGAGTTACTATTTAGTATTCAATGTGCAAGGGATCGTCAAAAACTAACAAAATACAGCCACAATACCAACAAACCTCCGAGTGATTGCCTTATATTTTCATTTGAAGTCAGCTGAGCAGGAATATGTCCATCTTTATTGGCAACACTTTTATCAGCACCTTTCTCCAACAAGTAGCTTACAACTTTCTCATGATTTCTTTTACAAGCCCAGTGAAGTGCAGTCCTGTTGAAAGATTTTAGAGAATTATACAGCTTAAAGGATAACATGTGGAAACACATAGTTAAAAGAAATTACTTTGAGAGATAACTCTACTTTTAATTCAGTCTCATTGTAATCATTCTCTTCAATATCTCAGAAAGCAAGAGAACCATTTGTGAGGCAGCGTGGTGAAATCAGGCGCTGATCAAAATAAGGAAAGTGAAGAAATTGGCATTTTCATGCAGGTTTGAGAATTTTTTTTACAACTTTCGTTTTTTTGGCTCAACACCTTTCATGTCAGTGAAAGAAAACAATTCTGTACGGATTTTACACAAAAACGTTGATTAAAGGCACAAAAAATGTAAATATTCAGTATTCACGGACTCCAAGCTTATGAAAAAACTTAAACTTTTTGCAGCCATTTTCTCACTAATTTTACCTCTGAAACAAGGTAAACCCCCCACCCTCTTTAATCGCCAATATCTCTACTTGTAGTATTTAGATGAATATTTTTTCATCAAAAGCAAGACAAACAAATAAGCTTACCAATAATTCCACATGCCCAAAAATTGACGAATGCCTGATCCTACCGTGTCGTGACACATTTCTTTTTGTGAACCTATGAAGATCAAACCCTGTCTAATTTGAAACAATGATACCTGTTTACATTTTCAAATCTTTTGTTATTCACTTTGAACTGTTAAGGACTATAACCCAAATACATTCTATCTTTAAAAGTTTTAGGAGAACAGCCTAGACTGAAATGACTACATCAACAAATGCAATCCACACAACTGTCAACTTTTCAATGACTGAATCTGGAAAACTGTCACTTTTTAAGGAAAGAAATACGAACACTTGTGAGCAGTGATCATGCTTGCTGCAAGTCAATTATAACCTCAAATTTTAATTTGTTCAGAGATTGATGATGCAAAATCCCGCAAAACATTTGAAATTGTTAAAGTAGATACAGCAAAATTTTACTTTCACACCTACATGAAGATGAAGGCTCATATTTTTTACTCAGAACAGGCATATGACCACTAAAACCATTGCAAATCATTTGTTTTCAAGAAAATTTCTAACTTTATCACAAAACATCAAATTATATTGAAATACAGGGGGACATGCGCTCCTGATACCCCCCAGATTTTAAAAGCATGCAAAATATTAAGACAGACCCCACTGCTTACAATCCCGGTTCATTTTAAAAGATCCAGTCGTATTAGAAAACAGTTCTATCTTTACTACACAAAATTCAAAGCTCTGAAGGCTGACATTCGGCTAAGATTCAGCATTTGAGATCATAATTTACGGAACAAAAACGCGGGCTGGTGCAGTTGATCAACCAAGCAGTAAAAATTTGCAATCATTGTGATTGTACTGCCCGTTGTGTCACAGATCATCCGTTTTCATGAAACTGATCACAGCTCCAGTATAAATCTCTAGAAAAGAAACAGTAAAATGTGTGCTCCAGACAGGATCACACTGAGGTGTGAACTTGTCGACTCGTTTGTTTTCCCCAAACATCGCACTTGCACCTGAACGTACATTGCAAGGTGGGGAGGGTAAAGCCTACAAGTCCATGTCTGGCGGGATCACACTGAACTGTGAAATCTTCCCTGCTTTTGTTTCCCTGACCACTGCAGAAGTAGTTGTCTCTGCACCCCAATTTGCGAATTTGAATTGATGGGGTCACAACACAATGGTGTGTTACGACAGAGTTGCGAGAATTCAGCCAGAGATGGAAAGCTATAAATTTTGGACAGGTAAGGGGAAGGAGCATTAGGATCAACGTAGATCTTGAGACTCATGATTTGATGAGTGAAAATTACATGCCTTATGCGGTCATGATTGGTCGTCAAAAAAGTCATAAATTTTATATATTTATATAGTCACAAGCCCAGCTCGCGGCCAGGCCCAAGGTGCGACCGATTTACATAACTGCTCACCCACTGGCTTTATTCACTCGAAATTAGCAGAGTAGTTTCCCTAGGTTCAACATTACAACACCTGTGTCGCATTCAGCCGGCACGTCTCTCGGGTAACAGCGAGCCGTTACGACAGGTCAAAGTTGACATGTCAGGAAACAGTCTGTTAAAAATTTCAGGCAAGTTGAATGTCTCATTTTTCTTCTTCAATCTTGTAAATATGAATAAGTATTTTGGTATAGATATATATATATATATATAATATGTTTTAAAATACTTGGTAATGAATGTGGTAGGTAGCAAAAGTTGGCTTTAAGGCAAACTGAAGAGAAATGGGGGGGGGGGGGGGGCACATGTAAGTCAGGCTATATTTCGCGCTGGGCCATATATGGCCAGACTGGCCACACCAGTTTTTTGTTATGGCCTGCATGCGGCCGATAGGTTAACATCATAGGCTTCGATATCTAGTTTTAGAAAGAGTTTTACAGCAATTGCAACACAAAATAAGTCATATTTGTGCCGAGGATTAGAGGTGTTACTGAAGAGTAACGTAAAAAAGGAGTAGCAGAGACAAAGATGATGAATGTTTGATAGGAAAGAAGGACCAAACTATACCAGAGCATCCACCAACCATCCGCAACATCACAGGTAGTACACGCACGATGGTAATAATGGTTGAAACAATTTTACTGTTGTTTACACCTTACTCAAAATAGAACCATAACAATTTTATGTTTATGGCTATGCAAGCTTAGACAAAACCCCCAAAACGCATAGACTCGATACTCAAACAAGTAGACAAACTTAGCTAGTTCTCGGCCTCAAACTAACAATACTTTGTGATATTTTCAGAGATGACAAATAAAGATGTCTCTAGAACAACCAAACTGGTCTCAAAAAAAGAATCATTGCAAAAAGAGGAAAAAGAAAGAAAAATGAAATGAAGAAAAAGAAGATCAAGAAAGCATAGAAACATGAAGAAAAGAAGCGTATGAATAAAGAGAGAGATAAAAAGAGAAAGGGGAAAAAAAAAACCAGAAAGAAGAGGAGTTGAAAAAATGGAAGGAAGACAGACTACGAAAAAAAGAGGATTGAGATGGAGATGAGAAAAGCTTATAAACGGAAGGGAAATAAAAGGAAAGCAAGAAGAGACTCACTCAAATATTTCAAGCAACAGTAAGGTAGATGAAAATGAAATTGTACTGGACAATCGGCCAGATGAACATATTGATGTGGGTATGATAGATGACTTGTTGGATGATACGTTTGAGTGTGAGAAGGAGCTGAGAGCACTGGAAGATGGAGAGCGGGAGGAGGAAGACAATGTTGAGAATGAAAGGGTAGATCTGCCTAGAAGTATGGAAAGAGAGTAACAGGTATGTTAAAGATGGCGAAGGACAAGAAGAAGGAAGTGGCAGTAGAGTAGGTAATAAGAACAATTGGCAAATCTGATGGCCAAAATACATACATCTAGTTACCCATCGATCACTGTGGGAAATAGATTTAGAAAATCTATGCAAACTAGACTAAATTGCAGAGTTGTTTTTTTGTTTGTTAGTTTAAATCTATATATGCATCAATTTTTGGCCAACCAAACTGAAAGGTAGATCTAGACCTATTTACGTTGTTCTTTTAAGTTTAGAGCTAGATCGAAATGTTTTGTAAAATTAATATTATAACATATAAAGAGAGGGGGAGAGAAAGAAAGAGAGTGAGAGATCTATACACTCAAGTAAAAAATACGATGGTTTTATGTTTTTGTTTTGCTTTCTCATTAAAATTGAATCAAACTCGTGTATACATGAGCTTCCAAAAGTTTGTTTCATGCTATCTATAATCATATTTTAACCGATTTACTTCCTTGTGGATTTGTCTTGTGTGTTTGCTTGTACAATGTGGCCATACTTGAGATGCTTTCGGCCGCACCTAAGACAGGTGGCTGCACCTATGGCTTACCAGTGGCCGCATCTTGGTGGCTGCACCGTAGCCAACTTTTCACTAATATAAGTCATTTTTGCCATAAAATAACAACAATGGCTTCTAGCCACTTTCGACTCTTAGTACGTTCACATGTCCAAGCTACGGCCAAAAAAAAAACCCCACTCGCACAATGTCATAATGTCGTGAAAATAGAGGAAGCTTCTCTTGTGGCCCCAAGTGGGCAAGTGACTATACATCCATCCTGGGGCCGCATCACAATCACAGTTCATTTCACCAATTGTTGGCCTGAACATAAGTCACAGTGGATTATCCCCTCGGCACGTCAGCTAAGGCACACATTTTCTTTGCTCCCAAGCACCAGGATCTTCTGCGGAGACTACTGCACCTCAAAAACAAATTACTTAGCGATGGATATAAAGTCAAAATTCATGTAATTTAGATTCAAAATGAACAAGAAAAGTATTACACAATCTGAATATGAGATGGGTGTGAAAGTAAAATAATACCTGCCTATGTTTCAAATAAAATTAGGTAACTTCTACCAAGCAGATGCTCTGCTTTTGGGAAGTGCTATATATTTCTGAGTGAAGAACACACATGATGTGTGAGGCAACACGGTGAAATCAGGCGCTCGTTAAAATAACAAAATAGAAGAAAACAGCATATTCCCACAGAAGTATACATACAGACCCGGTAACCGGGAACAAAGTCACGAAGTATATAAACCCCGTATGGGAGATCTTTTGAGATTTCGGAAAGTTTCAGCACCCAGACCCGGTAAAGTGTGTGTGTGTGTGTGTGTGTGT